TTGGGAAAAATCCCTGCTGCCTTAGGAAATCTCTGCTAAACCAAAAATCTACAGAAATGCTCTCTTTTAGCAAGTTATTCCATAAGGAGTGGTGCTCCAAACATTGGTATGGGTTGAGGCGTTGCTCCAGAGACTCTCTAGGGTCTAATAAGGGTTGAAGTCACCCTGCAGCCCCCTGCTCTGCCCCATTCAGGCACAAAAAAGAGTCTCCTTCCTCTAGTCAGCTGCCTGCTTTCATGAAACACAGGGGAACATCATGTTTCTGAGACCTCAGATCCTTCTTTCAAACATGGTTTTCAATGGCCCACGGAGTCAAAGGTTGTTGGAGTGGGAACTGAAGGCTGACAGCGCGACTGCAAGTCTTATTTTCTTAGGAACCTATGTTAAAAAAATGTCTAAGCAAAACATTTCAACTTCAAAAAAATAATAGTATCTACTTGGCTATCTCTGTGACACAGATCTACAAATAGCTTTCGTTGACCTGTGGCTGAAGTATTTGGAGAATAAACACACTGATTGAAAACTTTCCCCAGATCTAAGAGTAAAAACAGCCCCAGCCAGCGCAGCTCCCAGCCCTGCTCTCGGCGCTCTCCCGGACTAGCGGTAAACCAGGGGCTGGCACAGCAGCGCCGGGGAGCTGGGGAGGGGGCAGAGGGCCATGCAAACACTCTGCACAGCTGTTTTGCACCAAGTGTCCAACACTTTAATAACCCTTACCCAGTTCAAAGCCTTAATGAGGCTGTGACATCCTGGCCCGGGTGCCTGTTCAGACGAATGATTGCTAAGAGATGCCCAGAAGGATTAGAAACCCTGGGGAGCACCCAGTGTCTGAGGGTCCTGACCAGCTCACATGGCAGAAACCAGCTGCTCTGCTCCTCTGCCAGCCAGTGCCTCTTACCCCTCCACAGGGCAGTGGGAGGATGACAGCCCGACCTGGTTCGGCGTGTCAGCCAGAGGGGACAAGTGGAAGCTGCAAATATCTTTGCTGAAACACCTTGGCTTAGGACGAGAAGATATCAAGACTGAGGATGGGTCTTCACACCATGGAGAGGCACAGCCAGGTTTGGACCTCAGGGAGAGAAAACCACCCCTAAGGCCTTTCCTTCTCCCTTGCTCTCCTCGTTCGCACATCCCAGATGCCTCGGTGTGCAAACAATGTTTGGGGTGCAAGCAGGAGGTCAAGGTGACCGAGGAACAGAGGTCCTGTGCCTGCTGTGACTTTCAGAAGCCAGTGGGAAGCTGTCTGTGATCAAGGCACATGAACAGGAAGAAATCCAGCCAAAGGCTCCAAGGGCCCGACTAACAATGAAGCCACTGTGTTAAGAAATACCCACCAACCTCATTTTTAACTGCCTACAGGCCAGCTGGCTCCCCACAAACCAGCACATCCTGTGGATCTTGCATCCACACCCAGTTCCTGCTGGGCTGTGGATGGCAGAGCAGAGGACAGGGAGCCCTGTGACATGCACCGACATCCCAGATCCTTTGAGCAGACTGGGGTTGCCAAGTCTTTCCTGACACCTTTTAAACAGTGCTGGCCACAGGAGATGGACACTGAACACCAGTCTGCCACCCAGAGACACCTGGTCCTTAGTGCGGGCAGACCACAGCTTGTGTGCACACATGCTTGCGCTCAAACAACTAGAAAGAAAATGCTCACCAGTTTAGTGCTGACCACTGAGGGGAGGGTTGGGAGCAACATGCATGGAGTTCCCAGCCCTTCTGTGCATCCTAACCAGTGACTGCCATGGGACAGCCACAGAACTCCCTCTCCTGGTCACTGTGTGGTGGCTGAGCCTCCCCAAGTGCTCTGCTGTCACCAGATCCCCTGGATCTGTGTCCCAGGGAAAGGTTTCCTCCTTAAACCTGATCCTCTTTCAAAACCTCCTGAATTGCAGAGACAGACCCCCAAAAAAGCTGCAACCTCCCACGGACCCAGCTCCTGGAGAGCCACGATGATGCTGGACCAAGCCCGCTTTGCAAGTCAGGCAGTGAAATGGAATGGGATGGGAACAGCTAAGGAAAACCACTGGGGTGGCCAAACTGCTGGGTCAAACTCCAGTTGTCCCACGTGAATACAAACAGCCCATTAGACCTGTCCGAGAGCCACTGTCGGGTTGCTCTATACTGTGCGAGAAACTGGTCAGCCCCAGAGGGGTTATTCACTCACCTGTAAGGCGAGGCAGTACCCCAGGAGAGATAGTCAGTGGGTCTCGGAGCTGGGCGAGGTACTATGGGCTGCTCCACGGCGGTCACGTCCCCTGAGTAGGATTTGAGCAGAGAGGCGTTCTTGCTGGCCAGCATGGCCCTCTCATTCCGGCGAAACTTGGCTCTCCGGTTCTGGAACCACACCTGGGACAGAAACCACACAGACCCACCAACCATCACAACCAGTTCTGCTGCGACACTCAGCCTTTCACCACACCGCCTCTGTGCTGCTGGGCAGGACAGGACTCTGTAAAAGCAGACTGCTTTGGCATGCCTGTCACCGGGAACTCAAGACAATCCTTACGTCTGCCCTGATAAAGCGTTCCTCGTGGGAGGAACTGGCTCAGAGAGGCCCCCGTGGGACCAGGTCTGTCCTGTGCTGCTGTACAAGGTATCATGCCCCATGGTCTGCTGTGACTTTCAGAAGGTGCAGGCTTGCAAGCTCAGAGCAGAGCAGCTCAAGATAACATAAGCAGCCTGAGCACAGGACATCCAACATCTTGGCCTTGAATGGACCATATGAACACATCAGACTGGGCAGGCGGTACTGGGCAGGAGGTCTGGCAGTTCTCCTCAAGGCACAGCATGCTTGGGACGGCAATACAGCAGGACCCAGAAGCTCGGTGGCCCTAGTGTGCCTCAGAGACCCCAAGGACTTCTACTGCCGTACTGGAATGGCCTGATGACCCTGCCTAGGTGAGGTGTGTCTGGATACAAGGTGTGGGGATTACCTGAACTCTGGCTTCAGTGAGGTTGACTCTGCGTGCGAGGTCTTCCCGTACAAAGGCATCGGGGTAGTGTGTCCTTTCAAAGACCCTCTCTAATGCCTGGAGCTGGCTGCTGTTGAAGGTAGTCCTGTTCCTTCTCTGCTTTCTTTTCTTCTTCTCTTCTGAGTTCAGCTGATCATCTAAAAGAGACAAGTGGCGATGTGAAAGGCTAGAAAGCTAAGAGCCCACAGTAACGGGGTGAATAACCTCAACGGTTTCAAGATGGGAAGGGCTTGGGAATGGGCTTGCACAATTTCAACACCGCGCCTTGTTAGTCCCCACATAACAAGGATGCGGAAAGTGCATTGACCATTCCTTTCCCAGCTCAACTGCGTAAGCCTTGTACCAGCTCCCTCGAGCTACCCCATGCTTCAGCTTCCTCATCTCAAAAAAAGAAACAAAAGAGTCCAAAATGCATCTTCCCATTCCTGCCAATGCTAGAAACCTTGTCCGACCACAAAGAATCATGAACCCCTCTTTTCTGGGCTTCACATTTTCAAGGACTGCCCTTAGGGGGATGTAACGCATCCCTCTGGGGTCAGCACATCTGGACTGAGAGGCGTCAAGTCAGGCAGAGATGGGGAGCTGTGAACAAAGAGGTGTCAGACAGTGGAAATGAAGCGTGACTGATAGGGGGCTGAACAAGAGACATGCACAACAGCCAGCTTCACTTGTATGCTTGCAAGCCAAGGACACAGAAGTACAGTCAGACCGACATGGATAGCATTGCAATTGGGAAGCAAAAACACAGTAAGAGGGAGGCTGAGCGTAAGCACATTGGGTATTGTCGCCTGAAGAACAGCTGTGCACTCTCCAGCACGGGCCAGCAAAATGGTGAGCAACAAACTGTGCATCCCAGAAGAGCACGTATTGCTTTGTGCCTGGTTTGTGTTTACTCTGGCAATAAATCAGTATGTCCATACATCTAGAGTCACACTTCTCATTCCTGCCTGTGCCTACAGCTGCTGGAGCAACATCAGTGCCGAGAGAGCTACGAAACAGCTTTTCTTAGCAAGTATCTGCTCTGCACCGTCTCTGCTTTTTCCAGCACTGAGGCACACGCCAATGTAGCAGCAGCGATGCAGCGATCAACGCACGGGCACCTACAGGCACTGGCAAGCCGTGAGTGATGGCTCCAGGGGTTTGAATGCTCTTCATTAGGACACGCTGGAGGCTCCAACATTGTTTTTGCTTCTACCCTACCAGCACCAAAGTACGTTTGCTCATCACACTAGTCACAGCACAGTAACTGCAGTTACCACGGGAAGCCACACCAGAGGAAGTGGAGATGAAGATACCAGGCAGCAGCAGTGGGAGGCCACTGCCGCCTCCATACACCAGCCCTGTCCAGCAGGGGTACGCCATCGCCTTCCATTCATCCCTCTTCAAGTGCTCCAGTACGTGTAGGGTCCCACCAAAACCATCCAGGCTTGTCATGCTCCTGCAGCCCCAGCCTTCAATGCTCCCACGCACACCAGGCAGAGTCCCAGGTGGGCAATGTCAGCGTGGTCCCACTGTCATACGTGGGGGAACACTGCTTCCACCCGGGAGGATCTGAGCCAATACACGTCAGCACGCATTAAAATATATCGACCATTGTATCTATAAAAAGGCAAGTGCTAGTGAATTATATTTTAAGTTAATCACTGCGTGCCTTGGCCGAGATGATGGTCTCACCACGGAGAGTCCAAGGGCTCGATCTGCTCTATACGGTTGCAGAATATCCCCTTGACAGCCATTCCTTTTGCTGTATGGAAACATGACAGCTCCCCTCATCCTCCTGATCTCCAGGGGTATGTAAGGCACAGGGAGAAGCTGACAAGGAAATTAAAGTCTACTGGTTGTTGTCTTCACCACCTGTTTGTGTTGCTTTTCACAGCCCATCTGCTAACAGTTACTGCACCTGAGTGCCTTTGGAGGGAGGCCCATCCATTTGGGAACAAAAGGACATTCCTCTGAAATTAAAGTGGGCTTTTCAAATTCCTGCAGGTTTACAGCTCCTCCATCCCCAGTCCTTCTCCAATAGCCTCACCACCCCCAGCAGACTCCTTTCCAACCTGGGGATTCCTGGGTGCAAAAATACACCCTTAGTTTTCCTGCATCCGAGTGGAAGAGTGTGGAGAGCAGTTTTTAACAGGCATGTTGGATTGTAAAGCTGAGCTGGGAAAGGACTGGCAGAGGCAGGAACGTGCAAAAAAACCAAATGCGCGTAGGAATCCCGTCATGTTAAAACAAGGCTACGTGTGAATCTATGCTGTGGTGAAGCAGAGGGATGGGATCTCACCGCTGCTTGTGCAGAACACCGTGCGTGCACTGATACCTGCTGGGGGTTTAGCGCTGTCACAGGGTCTGTCCCCTATAAAGAAGCAGAAAAGTCTCGCGTGTTCCTCTCTTGACTCATCATCAAAGCCTTTATAAAAGGGTCAGTGACTTCCCCCTGGCTCTATGGGCAAGCTCCAGCGTAGTTGGGCTGCTGTACACCACGCAACACAGCAAACGGTGAAGAACAAGCCTCGGGGCACAATCATCCCTCTGAACAGCAGAAACATCACCAGCCCAGCTGCCGCAGAGGCCGGTGTCAAGACGGGTATCTGGCCTCCTTCTGACTTATCCATTTGATGCTGTTTTCTAATTGAAACCCTGCCTACATGGACTGGATGAACAAATCAGTAAAAGCCTTTGGGACCCCTGGAGAATCCCCTACAGGCCTTTGAAGCATCGTCGCTGCCCAGAGGATGACACCTGGTGGGATGGAGCCGGAGCCCAAGGATGTCTGGCCATTGCTCAGATCCTGCGTGAAGGTTACACATCAGGAATGGTGAGCACATTGCTCTGGGGAGCAAGAAGAAGGGCCAAAGCCTGTAAAAAACACTGGAGAACAAGAATCCCTCCTGCCAAGCACATTAACACTATTTGCCAGGTTTCCTCCCAGCGTAAAGTGAGACACCAGTGATTCACAGCTCACCTCGTAATTACTGGACCCAAAAATAGCAGGGCCAAGCAATGGAAAGCTGCAGGCAGTGGCCGTGTTGCAGTGACTCACGGTCGGGTCACCATTGGCGAGTGCACCTCCAGCATCGGCTGGCGTGGAGCGGGGACGTGAGTCACCCTCTTCCCAGGATGGAGCCAGCTGGAGGTGGCTCGACAGCAGAGCACAGCCTGCGACAGCGGGGACGGGAGTTTGAGATCTTCTTTCACTGCACCTCTGGAACAGCACAACACAGCTAGATCCAAATGTCTACAGGAGTCACTTGGGTAGCAGGAAAAAAGATAATAATAGCGGTATTAGCCCAGAGCGCCGCTGGGTTGATGACTCCTTGCGTTCTGCCATGCAGACATGCCGTATGTTCATTACAAACTGCTAACGAGGGACTGCAGACACCTGGGGTCTAGGTGTCTGCAAATGTCACCTTGCTCACAGCACTCACCGGCTGCCTTCAACATGTCAGCAGGGTATTTTTTTTTCCCCCTGCCATTATTTCTTTATCAGGAAATGATGCTGAACACTGAATAATGGTATTCCTAAATAGTGTTGACAGCACCAGTGACTGGAGTCAGCAGAAACGCAGAGAAGGGGAAAACAGCTCTAAAGCTTTTTAGATGGGTCAGAAGTCTTTCATCAACATTCTTTTAATCAGAAATATTTCATTACAAGCAGCGTTCTCAAAAGCTGAGCTGCTTGCAAATGCATCCTCTAGAGAGATTGAAACGCACGTTCTCCTCTCAGGAACCCAGCGCTGGAAAATCTGGGAATTTAATTTCCAAATCCCAACCTTTCGTGTTGGGCTGGGGGATTTTGTTTCCCGTTTCCACAGTCGTGGTATTTCTCCATTCACCCACGATACACAAATCCTGGTGTCATACACAAACGCACTTCTAGGACGCACCAGAACATTTTTAATTGCTCCTACATGATGCAGTATGAAACATCCTATTCTTTTTTCCCTTACTCATCACGTCTCTTGCAACGAGGCGGATCCACGCTTGAAGTTTCTCTGATCTACACTCATCGCACAGCAGCTGTGACTGTCACTGGGGCACCATCAGCCAGCTCCTGTTGGGATGCCACACTTCGATACAACGCATAATAAAGCACAACAGAGTTGAGAACTAAATGCCTACGTATAAGTTACAAGATCAGTATTTTTTTCCACCAATACTTGCAACCACAACATAGTTTGTATTTCCA